TTTTAGACGATATACTCGATGATATCATCTTTTTGTTTGCACCCTTTGCAGGGTGCGGATTCTGACAGCTTCATGACATGGAGATGCTTCCCTACTTGGCAGTGACCCGTCAGAATGCCTGTGATCAGGCATCTAGTGATAGTCAAGTATTTGTCTGCTGTAGTGTTGTCAGGATAACATGAAAGCTCCCTGCAGCTTCCTGTTTTATTCAATATTTCCTTGAACTTCACAAGGGAATATTCTTTAATTAGGTCCGTCACTACCGATTTTGTCAGGCCAATAGTAGGGTCAGGTCCAAAAAGTATTTGGTTGGCTGCCTGCTTAGCTAGTGAATCAGCAAGACAATTAATTACCTTTCAATGTGACGTGACCTTTGATCCATCTTAAGTTAAACACATTATTAATGGATACTTCGGCCAAAGCTTCATGACATTCTAGTACCAACCCTGAGTAAATTCGTGGTCTGTCCAGGGGAAGTGCAGCATGTCTGCTATCTGTATAGATGGCATGTTCCTTTAAGTGATATTGTTTCTTGTGATTTCTTTTGCTGCTATGAGAATTCCCATGAGCTTGGTTTGAACTACACTGGCATTACTGCTCACAGCCCATTTTATGTTTAGGTTTAAAGATGTGAAGTATATTCCACATCCTAAGCCTTGTTTTGTTTTAGAACCGTTGTTGTAGGTATGAATCGTACCTGCCTCTTCCGACTCTTCGATTTGTTTTGTTATAACTTTAATATTATTGTCACGCTTCGTATAAATTCACATTTTTCCAAATTTTAATTATTTATTTAAATAACACCCTGTACGTAAAAGTTTGTTTAATTATTTCGCGAATTGGTTTTAAGTTGCAATCATGTACAAAATTGATTATTTAATGATTATTAAATATTAGTTTATTAACAATAAACTATGCATAAGTTATAAAGGTAACCTCAAAGAGACACACAGGGCGTTTTTCACAATAGAGGATCCTCTTCATCGGGTTCATAAGAGAGCCTCCTTGTAGGATATTCCCAGTAACGGTTCCTGATCTCTAAGACTTCGACCAAAGGCTCTGGATCTCCATCGTAGAAAATTAAAAGTCCTTTTTTATTTTAAATCGCGGTTTTAACAAATTGTTGTTACATGTGTCGCAGATATTGCAGTTGGTAAACTAAATTGTTTTAAAGATAGTGTTGGTCCATATTTGTGTATGTTCAGCTGTGAAGTATTTTGTAGAATTGTTTTGTTGCACAGAAATTGTTAGCCCTTAAGGTAATGGAAGAGGCATGATTTACAATTAATATTCCCGGGTAAAGCAGTCTAGTCCAAACAGTCAATCATTGTGGTTTTAGTTTGTACTAGTGTTGCCTAGAACAATGTGTTACTCGGCTTATATCTTAAAACTCATAAATTGCCGAATATATCATATTTCCCAATAGAAATACTATTTGTTTTAAGAAAACATTGTGTTTTTTTCAGCCCTTTTACAGAGACGTGTTAGGTCCTAATGTCGAGAGTAGGACCCTTATTCAGTTAAGGGCTACGAAGCCAAGTTCAAGGCAATATGATTAAGGCTCTAGTGATATAATTATTGAATGGTCACCCCTAAATTCATTAATTGTGACATATTTTATTAAGAAACATGCAAAACGGGAGAATATCAAAAGAAGAAATACCCAATTTTCTTGCAAAGTGTTATGTCCCTTGCTAATAGATGTAGTAGCCAGAAGATTCAACTTTTAAGTTTCTTTATTTGTGGTTATTGATTTCACAAATCCACAATTGGAACATTTAAAGAATAATTTTAAATTTAATCCTATACTGAATTCTCTGACAAATGCTAAATAACCAGTTTTTTGTTATTCAACATTTATGACTTTTCAGTGATCTTATATCACCAATGAAATGACGATTCGTCTATCAGAGATGAAAAATGGATACAACGTCATTGTATTGGCACTTTGCCCTACACAGGAATTTTCAATGAAAATTATCCACTCTAAATAATTTTAAAGGTGAGGCTTTCATGAAAAAATACAAGAGTAAGTCGAAAATCATATAAAGGGACAATTCTGCTCGTGGTATACTCGTAACTTTTACGGTCTCCTCCCCGGTTATGACCACTCTTCTTGTTTTTTTTTCTTTTAATGAAACACCCTATATATTAGTAAGACAATAACTCAAAATCAATCCCATATAAATTAATTTTATTAAGTTAAATGTTTTTGCCTTAGGACATCATCAGGTCTAAAAATTAAGTGATAAGCGCTAACAAAACACTACTAGGACGTCCCCATAAAAAGGTTAAAAAAATACACGTGCATGATTAAAACCGAGCCCCAACAAGGGTAAGGTAGTTGTAAGAAATATCATATGTGGGACATGTTGATAAATGTGAGAATATGGCGATGAGTAGTGTTAGTCTATAAGTTTCTTTATGCAAATCTTTTTCAACTTGTACAATTTCTATCATATTTCCCACATATGGTATCTCTTACAACTGCCTTTTTAATCATACACGTGTATTTTTTTTAAATATTTTATGGAGACGTCATTTCATATTGTAAGCGCTTATTACTTTATTTTTAGACCTGATGATGGCCTAATCCTGAAACCAGTTGTCATTTAACTTCCTAAAATTAAATTACGTGGGATTGATTTTGAGTAATTTTTTTATCTTTAAGGTACACATTAGTTAGTTACTCTGTATACTATCACATTTTTCTACTCTTTTATACTATTCGATTTCAAAAATGTATACCTGAGGTGTAGATTGAATCGTCTAGAAGTTGCATTTCTTGAGCTTTTGTTTACGTTCTTTCTTTCTTTCTTTCCCTTTCTGTCTATTTTTTTTCTTTCTCTTCTCGCCTTTAAAATTATGGATAGTTTTCATTGAAATTATTTAATATTCATTTAATTATTAAATAGTACCCAACCATAGCGCGCGAACGTATCCTCCAGTCAGTTTTTTTTTATTTAAATTTTTTGACTGCGCGAACTGAGTCCATTCGCCAAACCACATAGATTATATTGTTCTAATTTTATACCATATTTTAAGGATAATGCACCCTAAATAATTTTATTTCAGTAAAGTTCATAGTTGAGAATGATTGAGCGGACCAGTGGAAGACTTAACAAAAGCTTGCAGGTCATATCCATCTCTTAGCTGGATCGCTTGCGCCGTCCGCGCTCAACACCTCACCTCCCGCGGCTTACAACATAAACAAATAAAACATAATTATATTGAAGTTTGGCAACGTTCTTCGCATCGAATCATAAAGATCTCCCGCGTAATCTATTATTGTGCTAGCAGTCTCTTTTGGCGGCGATATAAACTAAAGAAATATTATTCTATCACAGATAGAATCCTGTAACTTTAATAAATTGTATACTAAATTTGATTCGACAGGTAGAGCCATCTCTAGAGTCAGAAACGAGTGAGGAGGTGGGTCCATATAAACCTTAATATAGCCGGATTGGTTTGCATTCGAGCTGCAAACTGCATCGCAACGACGAAGCCGTCGCGTGCCGAGAAAATTAAAGACATTTAGGAAAAGGTGGTGAAATTGAAATTATTTCAGTCATTGACTGCTCCTCGCATATAAATGTAGGTACAGAATTTTGGTATGAATTTAAAAAAATATAATTGTAGTTCTTTTTTTATTTTACCAAACTTTTTTGGGGGTTGCGCAAACCTGCAAACCTCTTATTTCAACAGATTACCATTTTGAGTTCAAACGTCTTCAATATCCTGTCAGAGTTTGTTGTGCCATGACTATCAATAAAGCGCAAGGGCAGAGCTTTGAGAATGGCTGGTGTGGATCTGAGAAGTGATTGTTTTTCTCATTGTCAGTTTTACGTGGCGTGTTCAAGAGTCAGTTCACCGGACAAATTAGTTATTCTTCAGACAGAAAATAAAACGAAGAACATTGTTTACAGGAAAGTTTTAAGTTTGTAGTTAAATTATTTTATTAACTTTAATGAGAGATACTGATAGTTTATATATTTAAATTAATTAAAAAAACATTGTTGTAAAAAATAAAAATTGTGTTAATTATTTACAAAAAATGCCATTGTTTAAAATTGAAAATAATATAATTTTATTACCTTGAATATTGGAAATTATTTGCATTATCTAACCCTTTTTATTCATATCACACGACTAGGTTTCAAGATCAAATTTTATCATGTGTCCAGCGAAGCGGGCGGGTATCAGCTAGTTGTTAATAGTTTTGTGACTATAGGTTATGTTATAACAACTTATAGCCACAAAACTATTTTTGTGTAGATTTGATGAAGGTGTTTTTGTGGCTAGGGGCGAAATAGTAGTAAGTTTAAGTTAGCACCACCATAAAAGTAATTTTTAAGAAACTGCTTATATATTTTTTATAAATTGGCAGGCTTGGCGACTAATTTCGAATAAAAATAGCCTCCAAAATGGCTATGTTTGCATTATGAAGGTCGCAACTCGCCTTAGAAATCTCATCTTTACAATCAACAGCTGTTGTCTGACAGGTCGTTGGATAATGTTTGCAATGTATGGAATTTAAAGAATGTTAGGAATGTCAGACGTTAGAAACAATTGAAATTCCTAAAATTAGTCATAAGAAATGCATAGGTGGATTTTAAGAAAATTGATATTAAAGTAGTTAAGATGAATCGAAAATTCTGAAAATCAATAAGGTTCTAAGTTGGAAGTAATTATTCAAGAAAATCAAAACCGCAAGTCAATCAGAACTTTCGTTCTAGAGTTATCGTGCCGGCATACATACATACAGACGAAAAATTTTTTTTGCTTTTCGGACTCAGAATGATCGGAAACATGAAAAAAAGTTTAAAAAACTGGGGGTTAGAAAATTTTTTCGTCTGCACGAATGCAATACTGAGGCCCCATAGGAAGGGCCTCAGTAAAAGTAATATAGTTATTATTATACGCTTGAAAAAAAATATCTTTTTTAAGTTTATTATATTTAATATTCAATATAATTAATATATACATATACATTTTATTTATTCCTTACCTACCTAAACAATTAAATCCATTTGGAGAAAAGTTACAAAAATTCTTCTTAGAAGCGCCCCTGAGATTGACTCCACTCCAAGTCCAGTTGTTGCATCCTCCAGGTCCACACAGAACGTATACGCTTTGGGAATTGGGACCACTCAAACTACCTCTGACGCCCTGCATAGTAAGCTGCTTGATTTTAATATTTCCTATAGGGTGGGGAGAGGGACTATCGTTTGTGTAGTCTTGTTGTACATTAATCCCGTAAAATGAAATACCTGCAAATTAGTTTCAAACATTAATTTTTATCTTGACTTGACTTTGATTAGATTATTTTCTAAATTAAAGTTTAATAGCATTTAATTTTACATCCAAATGAATTTGAAAAGAGTAAAAACTAATGAGCTAAGATTTGGGGGATATTTTTTAAATAAATGCTAATACCAATATTAATATTGTAACTTAAATGAGATCAAAACCAGATACTAATGTTGAGAGAGTTGGCAGATCTATTGATTCAGCCCTTCATCTAGTTGCTGGCCAGATAGAGTGATCTCTGGACAACAAGGAGTCCGTCTTGGGTGTTTTCATAGACATAGATGCTGCTTAATTAAACCACCTTCCCCAAGATTAGACACTTACTAACCAACAGGAATATTCTACAGATGGTTAATGGATGGATACATAATAGTTTAGGAGCCCACTGCAAAATGTTGGGTCGATCACTAGTATGGCTAAATTTTCATAAAAACGTCGGGTAATATATTGTACAATAGTAATCCGTCGGCAGCCGCCCCAATATCGTTTGCGTTTTACGTTATAAAAAATTATTAACACTTGAAAATATGTGCCACTCTCCACCCATCGCTTTTTTGCCAAATTTTCTACTTAATCGGTAGATCGATAGATAGTAATTAAATATAATTTTCTATACCCGGCTGCCCACCATCATCCTTTGGGTTAAGGGTGGCTGATGGGGCTGAAAAGTACTATATCGATGTTGCTTTTATACACTCATCGCTTTTATAGTCAAACTAAATACCGTTGGAAAAGTCGCAAAATTTCCAACACGAAAATACCCGGCTGCCGCGCGAAAGCGTTTGCGTAACTTAGGCTGCCGCGATATTGTGCGCGCGCAAGATTCGATCACGTATGAAATCCGCGCTTTAGATAAGGAGTTTGGGAGTGTGCGCACAGCTGACGTTTATTTGACATCTGTTATTAGCTTTGTCCCAACATCTCACAAAACCGTAATATTACGGTCATCGTCATACGCAGTAAATAAAAACCGTTCGACTTTGAGCTTTATTGATAGGTTTTTATTTACTGCGCATGACGATGACCGTAATATTACGGTTTTGTGAGATGTTGGGACAAAGCTATTGTCTCTGATTGGAACACGCGAGTTTACGATTAAAGCTAGAGCGTCTCGCTTTCATGTATTCTTTGAATATTTGTTATTCTGTTGTTTTTATAAATATATAGTTTATGTGTTGTTTTTTTTTATTGTTTTTATTTTTAGTTATGCTTATAACGTCCCTATATATCTAAAGCAGAGAAAGTAATTAATGTTCAAGAGAGGCAAATAAATAGAGATGTCTTAATTTTGTTCTGTTTTTTGCAATTTATAAAATTATACATCGTTAAAGTTAACAAAATGTGAAAAAATAGCTTTAAGAATATACACTAAATTCCTCAGAATAATCGCTTTCTGAGTAATTGATATCGGAATGGACACCGCTGTCACCCAGATAGCACAGGACGTCCCATGGACGTCCTGATTTGGTCCCTTGTTGGTCCGGTTGGTCCCGGATCTAAATAGGACGTCCAGTGGACTTCCGATTACCGTGAACACTGGAACGTCCTTTGACGGACGTCCTATTTTGGTCCCATTTCATCAAAGCGTTTAGTTTTCGGTCCTAGTCCAGGACGTTAATGGGACGTCTATGGGACTTTCTATGTACTAACATCGTTGGTCTTTAAATCGATAACTTGAAATTCAACATTTTGTTTTTGCAAGAGTATGAGGACAGAAAACCTAACCTATCATTTATTTTCAAATGAACAACAACAGTTACAAATTTCGGAATTAAATAATTAACTTATATAAGTGAGTTAGATTAACGAAAAAAAAAAAAGAGGGTAATATAGTGTTATTTGTTTTTTTTTTATGTTGGTGGTTAAGAGGTTATAAGTGAGTGTTTTTTGTTGAGGTGAGAATAAGTGATGTGTATTGGCGGTAGCCGGTGGTGAAAAGAAAAGACCTTAATGGCGGAAAGTTGGAACAAAATAAATTTTGACAAAATTATAAAACTTAGTTATATCGACACAAGCTATAAGTAGGACCCAAGGTTTCATCTTACCAGCCCTGTGTGTTAAATTTAATTCATTCCTGTTTTTTTTTTGTAAATTGAAAACGTTTTACTCTAGCTAGTTATTTCAGGATAAAAGTTGTTAAATAAAGCCCTTTTGATGTTAACATTTTTGTTATTATTACCCTTTATGGATGATGGTCAAACATCGTCCCTCGGTCGTCTGATTTACGTCCCTAGGATGTCCCTCAATGGTCCCTATGACGTCCTTTTGGGATGTCCCAGGGACGTCCCTAAGATGGACGGAAACGGGACATTAGGACGTCCATTGGTCGTCCGATTGACGTCCCGGTACCAAAATAGGACGTCCTGTAGGACGTCTTTTAGACGTCCATAAGACGTCCGTGTGCTATGTGGGCATTTTGCTCGATAATTTCGTTCGCGTTGATAAATAATTATTTTTCTTTCGAAATACAAATATTTTCTTACGGGCAATTCCACAACCACTTAATTTTTATTTGTTTCATTTTAATCTGCATTTAATGCAGTAGATAGATTTATAATCACATAAAAAGTCAATACGTACAGTTGTTTGCAAATTAATATTTTCAAGTTTAAGTTCATCTCGGTATTTTGGGTTCAAAGTTGTTATTTTCTTTAAACATTTTGAATGATATTTGTTTCATACGTGATCAAATGTTGCGCGCGCACAAAATCGCGGCAGCCTAAGTTATGCAAACGCTTTCGCGCGGCAGCCGGGTATTTTCTTGTTGGAAATTTTGCGACTTTTCCAACGGTATTTTGTTTGACTATAAAAGCGATGAGTGTATAAAAGCAACATCGATATAGTACTTTTCGGCCCCATCAGCCACCCTTAACGCAAAGAATGATGGTCGGCAGCCGGGTATAGAAAATTATATTTAACTACTATCTATCGATTAAGTAGAAAATTTGGCAAAAAGCGATGGGTGGAGGGTGACACATATTTTCAATTGTTAATAATTTTTTATAACCTAAAACGCAAACGATATTGGGACGGCTGCCGACGGATTACTATTGTACAATATATTACCCGAAGTTTTCATAAAAATTTAGCCATACTAGTGATCGACCCAACATTTTGCAGTGGGCTCCTAAACTATAATATGCTCTCAAAAGGAGTAGTGAACATAAGTAAAATATATGAATACAGAGACAACACGAGACTGTTAACTTCATAGCAAAAATTGATTGACATTTAAATATAATAGTCATCAAGGTCAGCTGGCATTTTATCTTTGTCATGTACATTATTTCCTTATAACGTTATCTTGTTCTCATAAGCTAAAAGATAGGGTAGATGTCGCTGGTAATGTTCCAGCAATTTTGCCGTTATGAACATTTTCCAAATTTGTTTCTTTTACATTTAAATAATATTGATCTTATTTATCCATAAGTAATACTTATATTGGACTTATAATTTCTTTGTTTATAATATATATAACAAAAGATGTGTTTTAAGAAATACAGTGTCTGTAAAAGGTCTTTACAAAAACATACCACATATTCCTTAGACCAAAATAAGTCGATTTAAGTAAAATTACCTTAGTACAAAGTTGCTTCGTTTGGGCTCCAGAGGGCCTTGAAGTTACAATTTTTAAATCGTTTTTCCCATATAAATTTAAAACGGCATATGCGATTTTGTTGAAATTTGGTATATTGGTAGAGTTTTATGTGGCAAAAAAATGGTATTAAAATTTTGTCCGATAATAATACATAGGCGTAGAACTTGATTTTTTAAATAATTGCACCTTTAAAAATTCTACGTCAATGGAAAAAAAGGAGTTTGAGTATGAAATTTAGATTACGCAACTCATTTACTTTAAAAAAGGTACTCTTGATAAGACTCGATTACTCTCATGGTTTTGACGAAATTTGCATTTTAATAATTTTAGAACATAAACAATAATTATTAAAATACAAACTTTGTCAAAATCATGAGAGTAAATCGAGTGTTATCAAGGGTACTTTTTTGTAGTAAATGAGTAACCAATCCAAATTTCATACTCAAACCCCTTTTTTGCCATTGGCGTAGAATTTTTAAGGTGCAATTATTTAAAAAATCAAGTTCTACGCCTATGTATTATTATCGGACAAAATTTTATACGATGAAAAACATAAAAATGTACTTTTTTCATATCTTCTTTAACACCTCTAATCGATACTTTTAACAAAAATACTCGATTCTTGCCATGTACGATTTTTTGAGGAATATTAATTATTTGCCTGCAATACGTATACAAAAACATTTATTGTTGGTTTCCATAGTTCCATCTAAATAAAAATATTGTCAAGTTTTAACACCTAATCTCTTGTTAACGATTGAAAGTGTTCTATCTGACTCAATAATTAAAAAACAAATGCGTGGTTTATTAATATGGCTGTACAATATACCAATGCAGAATATACCGATATTTTACTGACATTAGGATTTTGTGAAGGAAATGCTCGAGAGAGTGTCAGGGTGTACTCTGAAAGGTTTCCAAATCGTCGTGTACCTAGCCACCCAACTTTTACTGCTGTTGAGAGACGTCTTCGGGAGACCGGTTCCTTTGCTCCCAACACTGTTGATACTGGAAGAAAACGTTTTGTAAGGATTCCTGAAGTTGAAGAAGACATTTTAGAACGTGTTGAAGAAGATCCAGAATTAAGCACCAGACGAATTGGAAGGGAACTATGAGTAAGTAAAGAGTCGTTTATAAAGTGCTTAGAGAACAATTGCTATATTCATACCATAAGAAGCCAGTACAAGAATTATTAGTCCATGATCCTCAAATTCGTTTGGGTTTTTGTCGATTTGTTAATATGCAAAGAGAAAGAGATTCAAACTTTGTCAAGAAGGTTCTCTTTACCGATGAAGCGGGTTTTACAAGAAGAGGTATAACTAATACCCATAACGAACATGTTTATGCCGTTGAAAATCCGCATGCAATAAAGGTAAACCATTTTCAGCACGAATTCAAAATTAATGTGTGGGCTGGAATAATTGGTAATTTCATTGTTGGTCCTGTCATACTTCCACGAAGATTAACTGGAGAAAATTATTTGGATTTTCTACAAAATACGTTGCCAGAATTGTTAGAAGATTTACCTCTCCAACTTCGGAGAGATATGTGGTTTATGCAAGATTTTTCTTTAAACGTTAGAAACCACTTGAATGAACAATATCCACACAAATGTATAGGCAGAGGTAATGACGCACCTGCAAACTGGCCACCACGTTCCCCAGACCTAACACCGATGGATTACTTTTTATGGGGACATCTGAAATCCACAGTTTACAGGGAACCTGTAGAAAATGAGGAACAACTCTAGCAACGTATTCAAGATGCAATAAACAATCTTAGAGGTGATGAAGAAGTTATGGAAAGGATACATTTTAATTTTCTTTGACGTATAAATCTTTGTATGCGTGAAAATGGTGAACATTTTGAACAATTTTTGTAAAATCTCTATTTTGATTATGTTGTAAATAAATATTTTTGTGAAACCTATACACTTATTAAAACAGAAATTTAGCGAAAACCATGAGAGTAATCGAGTCTTATCAAGAGTACCTTTTTTAAAGTAAATGAGTTGCGCAATCTAAATTTCATACTCAAACTCCTTTTCTTCCATTGGCGTAAAGGTGCAATTATTCAAAAAATCAAGTTCTACGCCTATGTATTATTATGGGACAAAATTTTAATACCATTTTTTTTGTGCCACATAAAACTCTACCATACCAATATACCAAATTTCAGCAAAATCGCATATGCCGTTTTAAATTTATATGGGAAAAACGATTTAAAAATTGTAACTTCAAGGCCCTCTGGAGCCCAAACAAAGCAACTTTGTACTAAGGTAATTTTACTTAAATCGACTTATTTTGGTCTAAGGAATATGTGGTATGTTTTTGTAAAGACCTTTTACAGACACCCTGTATAGCAGGATTGTGTACAAAGTCAAAAATACTGAATGCTACTGAATGCTAGAAGGCCAATAGCACTAGAAGAAAATAAGTTTGGCATCACAGCACGAGCATTTCACTTTGATGTCTGCTAGATTGACGTATTTCTAACCTGTCATTTTATTTCCTATTTGTTTCTGCTATGTTTGATGTCGTTTTATTTTCGTTTCGTTTTACTTATATATATTTTGTAATTGAACTTGTAAATTCATTTTTTGGTTGTTTTTTATTAATTATTAGTTGTTAGTTTAGTGTTTTCATATAAGGTAGTTTTAAGTTTGTTTACAAACCCGAAGGAACGAACAATGCCGGGATTTTGTTTAATTTCCGTAAAGTAAGTATTTCAATTTTTTGTTTAATACATAATATATTATTGAAATTATACTTTGTTTTATTTTCCTTCTTAATGCTATTTATTTTGTGTGCCTAAAAAAATGATTTTTTTTCTGATTTGGTGTGGTAGAATATGTGATTTACATATTTATTCACATTTCCAGTGCATCAAATCAGAAAAAAATCATAAAAAATATAGATAAAGTGGATCTACATATTTGAATTTCCCGCGGCTCTTCTTTTTTTAAAGAAAAATGTTAAATTGACTGATTGCTTATAAAGAAAAAGGCCACTATTAAGGCACAAGATATCAGCGCCATCCACATACTTTGATTACTTATACGAACCAAGAGAGAGGTCCGACACGCCCAACATAGGGCGCGGCCATTTTGAACCCTGTGACACAGTTTACAGCTAAAGAATCAGATCGATCACTCTGCGTCGGCACTTTGGATCTCAATGTTTCAGTTTATACACTGTGCAACTGGGATAATACAATACATGACAACCGCCTATAATAAAACAGCAGTCTTCTGCGTATCCTGAATTTGTATCCCTGGAGTGAATGTTATTTTGGAACTTTCAACTGGTCCGAGTGAGCTAACTGATTCTTTAGCAATAAACTGTGACTTCAAAAATAATATTCACTGACACTGACAGCAGCAAGCAAAATATCAGGTGCGTTTTAATCATCCGCTTCTGCTTCCGGAATTGTCGGTTTAGTCGTTTTAACCTGTCAGATTAAAACAAGAAAACTGACAATTCCAAAGCAGAAGCGGATGATTAAAACGCACCTATTAAAAATATTGCGCCAAGATGTAGGCAACACGTAATAAGGGTTCAAAATGGCGGAGTTTTCTATCTCCCTTTAAAAGGCACTCAGAAAGCTGCGCAGTGCGACCATTCTCCGTATAGTAAAAGAAAATCAAAGTATGTGGCGCCATGGGCTACATCTTCCAGTCCAATCGCCCAGTCAATTCTTGGCGAAAAGCAAAATTGCATTGAGTTAACCGTCTCATTAGTTGTCTCTGATGAATATAAGAGACTTGGTTACGAGGGAATATCCACAAGGAGGACTGCTATCGTCTTTACTGTGGAACATGGTTCTTCGACACTCTCGTCAGCTGCCTCAATAATGACAGTCACTACACAATAGCGTCATTCTGCAAACGGAATTTTGAGAATATACTCTGAAAGATGCAAGTAGCTCTCAAAATTATAGAAACATTCACTATCTACGACTGGTCGTGAATATAAAACTATTTGCGATTGAATCAAAAATTGATGTATTTTTTTTGTAATTTGTTATAAATTTTGTAATATTAGGATATAAACTTCTTAGTGGCCTACTGTGTACATTTAAACATAAACTATCTTACCTGAAAGTGTTATATTTTTATAAGTAACATCAGATATCTCTCCTGTTTGATTACCAGCGATGCTCTTGACGTGGATACCATTCCTTGAATTTTTAACGATAGAATTTTCGAAAGTAACGTTGTGAACAGTGTTGAGAGCGTAAGTACTAAAAATTCCAACTGCAATGCTTAAACCATGTCCTCCTGTACAATGTAAGTTATCAAAAGTTAAATTTTGTCCTTGGTTAACGCAGATGCAATCATCTTGATTCGCAACGTTGCTGTCTTTGATGGTTATTCTGCTGGATTTTGAAATATCGAAACCATCGGTATTAGCTCCTCCATGCTACATGAAAATTTTTAAAAATCAACCCAAAATCAACTAAGCCTCATTTTTAACAGACTTCAAAAAAGGAGGAGGTTATCAATTCGTCGCGATATTTTTTTTATGTATGTTCAGCGATTATTCTTTAACACGGTGTCCGATTTCAATGATTCTTTTTTTGTTAGAAAGGGGGTACTTCAGGGGTGGTCCCATATAAATTTAGTCAAAATCTAATAATTGGGTCCATGAGAAAATCCTCAAACTCTTCATTTTTTATGTATGTTTAGCGATAATGCTTTACCACCTTATCCGATTTATATGATTATTTTTTTGTTAGTAAGGGGGTACCTCAGGGGTGGTCCCATATAAATTTGGTTAAGATGTGGTGATGGCATCTGCACGTTTTTGAAGTCGGTTTTTTAAATTTTTAATTTCTAATACTTGTATATTACACAAAAAGTTCCTTACTTTATCTCCATATTGAGAATCAATATTCCAGGATTGCAAAGTCAAGTCATGCGAATCAGAGATTCCAATGCAAGTGTGTGGGCAATTTTTAACTTTGATACTTTTGAAGATTGAACCACCTGTGGCTTGAATTAGCATAAATTGAGGCTTCTTTTTTAGGCTGTGATCACCTTTTCCGTCCCACCATTGCTCTCCTGTTCCGTTGAGCAAATGAGCTGAAAAAATGTTAAAATGCATGATATGAAACGTAATAATATGTCGAGCAAGTGTGTAACTTGTTCTGTCTAAGGGTAAAGATACACATGGTTGTTTCCACCGAGTCGGCCACCGACTCGGCTGGCCGCCTCTGCCAAAACACACGAAGCGGTTCACAAAACAGTAATGCATTTGAGTCGAACGACGGTACACGCGGTGGTGTAACGTCGCTTTCTCGCAGCGCAGTATAGTGTGAACAACTCCATTTATTTACATTACAGCATCCGCCGAGGCGGCGGCCGAGTTGGCCGCCGGCAGCCTCTGCCAAAACACACGAAGCGGTTCATAAAAAAAGTAATGTATTTGAGTCGAACGACGGTACGCGCGGCGGTGTAGCGTCGCTTTCTCGCAGCGCAGTATAGTGTGAACAACTCCATTTATTTACATTACAGCATCCGCCGAGGCGGCGGCCGACTCAGCGAAAACAGCCGTGTGTGTCTTTAGCCTTACTCGACTCAACTTTTAAGCTATTGCATAGCTTTTATCGCGGGCTTTGAGCACGGCGACCAAATTAAAAAAAAAACGAAACCGTAACGACAAAAAACCTTAACACCCCCCACTCCGACTGACACAGCGGTGCGGCGTTAAACAATATTAACTTCTCATTTATTTAATAAAAAAAAATCGAAAAATCGAAAAATCGAAAAATCGAAAAATTGAAAAATCGAAAAATTGAAAAATCAAAAAAAAAATCGAAAAATCAAAAAATCTAAAAAGAGAAAAATTGAAAAATCGAAAACGAAAAATCGAAAAATCCAAAAAACGAAAAATCGCAAAATCGAAAAATTGAAAAATCGAAAAATTTAAAAATAAATTAAAAAATTAAAAAATTAAAAAATTAAAAAATTAAAAAATTAAAAAATTAAAAAATTAAAAAATTAAAAAATTAAAAAATTAAAAAATTAAAAAATTAAAAAATTAAAAAATTAAAAAATTAAAAAATTAAAAAATTAAAAAATTAAAAAATTAAAAAATTAAAAAATTAAAAAATTAAAAAATTAAAAAATTAAAAAATTAAAAAATTAAAAAATTAAAAAATTAAAAAATTAAAAAATTAAAAAATTAAAAAATTAAAAAATTAAAAAATTAAAAAATTAAAAAATTAAAAAATTAAAAAATTAAAAAATTAAAAAATTAAAAAATTAAAAAATTAAAAAATTAAAAAATTAAAAAATTAAAAAATTAAAAAATTAAAAAATTAAAAAATTAAAAAATTAAAAAATTAAAAAATTAAAAAATTAAAAAATTAAAAAATTAAAAAATTAAAAAATTAAAAAATTAAAAAATTAAAAAATTAAAAAATTAAAAAATTAAAAAATTAAAAAATTAAAAAATTAAAAAATTAAAAAATTAAAAAATTAAAAAATTAAAAAATTAAAAAATTAAAAAATTAAAAAATTAAAAAATTAAAAAATTAAAAAATTAAAAAATTAAAAAATTAAAAAATTAAAAAATTAAAAAATTAAAAAATTAAAAAATTAAAAAATTAAAAAATTAAAAAATTAAAAAATTAAAAAATTAAAAAATTAAAAAATTAAAAAATTAAAAAATTAAAAAATTAAAAAATTAAAAAATTAAAAAATTAAAAAATTAAAAAATTAAAAAATTAAAAAATTAAAAAATTAAAAAAATTAAAAAATTAAAAAATTAAAAAATTAAAAAATTAAAAAATTAAAAAATTAAAAAATTAAAAAATTAAAAAATTAAAAAATTAAAAAATTAAAAAATTAAAAAATTAAAAAATTAAAAAATTAAAAAATTAAAAAATTAAAAAATTAAAAAATTAAAAAATTAAAAAATTAAAAAATTAAAAAATTAAAAAATTAAAAAATTAAAAAATTAAAAAATTAAAAAATTAAAAAATTAAAAAATTAAAAAATTAAAAAATTAAAAAATTAAAAAATTAAAAAATTAAAAAATTAAAAAATTAAAAAATTAAAAAATTAAAAAATTAAAAAATTAAAAAATTAAAAAATTAAAAAATTAAAAAATTAAAAAATTAAAAAATTAAAAAATTAAAAAATTAAAAAATTAAAAAATTAAAAAATTAAAAAATTAAAAAATTAAAAAATTAAAAAATTAAAAAATTAAAAAATTAAAAAATTAAAAAATTAAAAAATTAAAAAATTAAAAAATTAAAAAATTAAAAAATTAAAAAATTAAAAAATTAAAAAATTAAAAAATTAAAAAATTAAAAAATTAAAAAATTAAAAAATTAAAAAATTAAAAAATTAAAAAATTAAAAAATTAAAAAATTAAAAAATTAAAAAATTAAAAAATTAAAAAATTAAAAAATTAAAAAATTAAAAAATTAAAAAATTAAAAAATTAAAAAATTAAAAAATTAAAAAATTAAAAAATTAAAAAATTAAAAAATTAAAAAATTAAAAAATTAAAAAATTAAAAAATTAAAAAATTAAAAAATTAAAAAATTAAAAAATTAAAAAATTAAAAAATTAAAAAATTAAAAAATTAAAAAATTAAAAAATTAAAAAATTAAAAAATTAAAAAATTAAAAAATTAAAAAATTAAAAAATTAAAAAATTAAAAAATTAAAAAATTAAAAAATTAAAAAATTAAAAAATTAAAAAATTAAAAAATTAAAAAATTAAAAAATTAAAAAATTAAAAAATTAAAAAATTAAAAAATTAAAAAATTAAAAAATTAAAAAATTAAAAAATTAAAAAATTAAAAAATTAAAAAATTAAAAAATTAAAAAATTAAAAAATTAAAAAATTAAAAAATTAAAAAATTAAAAAATTAAAAAATTAAAAAATTAAAAAATTAAAAAATTAAAAAATTAAAAAATTAAAAAATTAAAAAATTAAAAAATTAAAAAATTAAAAAATTAAAAAATTAAAAAATTAAAAAATTAAAAAATTAAAAAATTAAAAAATTAAAAAATTAAAAAATTAAAAAATTAAAAAATTAAAAAATTAAAAAATTAAAAAATTAAAAAATTAAAAAATTAAAAAATTAAAAAATTAAAAAATTAAAAAATTAAAAAATTAAAAAATTAAAAAATTAAAAAATTAAAAAATTAAAAAATTAAAAAATTAAAAAATTAAAAAATTAAAAAATTAAAAAATTAAAAAATTAAAAAATTAAAAAATTAAAAAATTAAAAAATTAAAAAATTAAAAAATTAAAAAATTAAAAAATTAAAAAATTAAAAAATTAAAAAATTAAAAAATTAAAAAATTAAAAAATTAAAAAATTAAAAAATTAAAAAATTAAAAAATTAAAAAATTAAAAAATTAAAAAATTAAAAAATTAAAAAATTAAAAAATTAAAAAATTAAAAAATTAAAAAATTAAAAAATTAAAAAATTAAAAAATTAAAAAATTAAAAAATTAAAAAATTAAAAAATTAAAAAATTAAAAAATTAAAAAATTAAAAAATTAAAAAATTAAAAAATTAAAAAATTAAAAAATTAAAAAATTAAAAAATTAAAAAATTAAAAAATTAAAAAATTAAAAAATTAAAAAATTAAAAAATTAAAAAATTAAAAAATTAAAAAATTAAAAAATTAAAAAATTAAAAAATTAAAAAATTAAAAAATTAAAAAATTAAAAAATTAAAAAATTAAAAAATTAAAAAATTAAAAAATTAAAAAATTAAAAAATTAAAAAATTAAAAAATTAAAAAATTAAAAAATTAAAAAATTAAAAAATTAAAAAATTAAAAAATTAAAAAATTAAAAAATTAAAAAATTAAAAAATTAAAAAATTAAAAAATTAAAAAATTAAAAAATTAAAAAATTAAAAAATTAAAAAATTAAAAAATTAAAAAATTAAAAAATTAAAAAATCGAAAAATAGAAAAATCCAAAAACTGAAAAATCGAAAACGAAAAATCGAAAACGAAAAATCGATAAATCGAAAAATCTAAAAACCGAAATATCGAAAAACCGAAAAATCGAAAAATGGAAAAATCGAAAAATCAAAAAATAGAAAAACCGAAAAATCCAAAAACCGAAAAAAAGAAAAAAAAATAGCATAAATAAAATATATAAATAATTATAATTGCATAAGTTGATAAAAAATGCTATACAATAGCTTAACCGCGGCAGTCCCCGAGTGCCAAACGTATTTTTTTTATAAAGAAATGTAGCAGGTTAAATTTTTTTCTGACAGTAATATTAAATAACCCCATTAAATGAGTTGCCAGTATTGTATGTACCTATTGTGGTTACAACACAACCAGTGTCCCAGATGAGGTCATGAGCGCCCAGGGCAAGTTTGTCTGTTATCTCTCCTAATACACATAAAGGTTGGTATTGTTTTGCTTCCTACAAAATAAATATTTTGGGGCACAAAATTCCAATCTTACCTTTGTGTGTGTGTGTGTATAAGAAGAAAAAATAGAATTCGACTAAGTGGATTTGCTACAAAATGAGAAATACTAATAATAATACTTATATTTTCAAGTGCAAGTAGAACACATACCTACGTTATATAAGGCGGTAATATATTCATATTTATGAGCATTTTATACAACTGAAGAAATAAACAATTAAGAAAAATGAGATTAAGATCTGAAGTGGTGGCATTATTACATAATATAATAGTTATCGTGTACGATGTCAAAAAGTCATCAATGACATTAACCTTTGTTCCCATTGTAACAAGTGTCAGTTTGCTTAGTAGACATTTTATAATTAATTCACATTTGCATTTTTTATTAGGTTTGTTTTATTTCATTATAGTCATTCGAGAATCAGATTGTAAAATTTTGTAAAACGGTTTTTATTTTAAATACAATATTGTTTAAAAAGTACCTTATAGCAATTTTGAATTTAAGTGGCGCAGTCAGTAGGATAAGTCAAACGGGATCAGTGAACATAATTTTCGGTTCGCAACAACAATTTATTGACTCAGCGGTTGAGTGCCAACTGAGCGCGTTCCCGGATGGTGGATAGGAGAACGGGCAGGATTTTCCTGGTTAGTGGTAGACATAAGTA